TGATGTAATTAGGTTATTATATCAGGGTAATTAACAGTGGGTGGGATGCTACATACTGTAAACAATTGGCTTATCTTAATCTCAATCATATTTATCCAAGCTTTTTAGGATCAGATATTGGCTTAGGACTTTCACACCTCTGAAAAATAATGGAATGTACAGTGTCACCAATATTCCATATTCCTTGTTCACGGGTGAATATTTATAATTTGCCCCAAAATAGTGTTCCTTGTTCCCTGTTCACAGGTTTTCCCTACAGAGAGGGTCCGTTAACATGTAAGTCAATAGAAAAATATTTGGTTCTTTTGAAAAGCATTCCTTGTTCATAGGTTTTCCCTACAGAGAGGTATTCCATCGGACAGGTTTTACTGTATAACAATAGCGCATGATGCTTTCAAGAAATAAGCCCAAAAACAGGAATTTTATTGTTGTTGAATTAAGGTGGGCCCCTCATTAAATACACTGGATGAAACGTTCTGAAAATTTCTAAAAGCAGGGGTCATTGTTACAAGGGGATAGCATCTTTTCCATTCAATCGAGGTTGGGCCATGCAGCCGAAGGTGAGCCATACAACCAAATTTTGCCTATTTAATCTGACGGAGAATCCCGAGCCTCTCTTTTTGACCAATTAGAGACGTCCTCTTCACATTCGTGGTACCCTCGGCCAACTTACAAGAGGACACGGTCTTATTGCACAAAAAACTAAATAATCTGAAATATTCAAATGCCATTCATGTACAATATGAATATACTTTTACATTATATTATTGCACAATGGTCTCCTGGTTTCTTATTTTTGGGGTTCTACTGACGCAATAAAACAGTGAAATGGGCTGTAAATCCCTTTGCAATTGGTGGTTCTACCCAAAGAGGTTCCAACACAATCTTCAATCTCCAAGCAGATTATTAAAGGATGTATATAACTATCAATGGCTTAGAAAACAATAAAAATTAGTTTTTTTGAAGAATATCATCAATTAAAAATGCAATAAATACGCTTTCGCTATCTAATCAAATGTGAAAGTGCTCTAATAATGAAAGTGAAAGTATTTGGCCGTTGTTAGGAATTCCCCAAAACAAATGTCACAATGATTGTCTCCATACCATCCAATGCATATTACGTAATATTCGTGGCTGCTATTGTGAAAAACCAATGTAATGTGACGTCTTTCCCTAACAACGGCAGATTTGGAGAAACCCTCAAACTGTTAGTGGATTCCCCAAATTATTTTAAATTTATATACAAAATTAACTCTAACTTGGGTAAAATAAGCTTTCCACCACATTGCAATAGATTCCTCATATTAATACAAATATCCCAGCCTATCGTCAGGCGCAATATTGGTCAATATTTGAGGTCTACTTTTGGTCTACTCATGAGGCGTACTTCTGGTCTACTTTTGGTTTTTCTCTGTGTTAAATCCCCATAGTCAGGCGCGTTTCAAATATTTAAATTAAGCCAAAAGTAGACCAGAAGTAGACCTCATTTAATGACCTCATCAGGTTTATCAGGTCTATATTTGAGGTCTAGACCTCATTTAAGCCTCACCTATCTGTAAATCAGGTCTATATTTGAGGTATACTTTTGGTCTACGCCTTATTTGAGGTTCACTATTGGTTTTCAGGTCAACTTCTCTTCTGCTTTTGGTGTACACCTTACGTTAAGGCACATTTCAATTATGGAAATTAAGCCTTAAGGTCTACTTTTGGTCTAGACCTCATTTCAGGTACAAGCCTCATATACCTGTAAGTAAGGTCAGGTCATGTTTTGTTGTTTCAAAGTAGAAAAGTACTTAGTACATATCAGTACCCTCCATAGTTGTTAAATAAATTGCATTTATTTTGAATTGCTGTGTTGTTTTCTAGGATTAACTTGTCTCATGGATAAGATACAGATCTATGAACACATTAGAAAGATGAAGCAAAAATTACACAGTATTCTTATATAAATTATATGTAGGCTTCTAATATGATGTATTTTTGTTTCATCATTTAAATTTAACAATATTTCAATATTTTATTATTTTCAGACATCCTTCTTTAGGTTTCCCAGATTTTGATTATTTTTTTAAGAAAAACCATTAATAGGAGTTGAAAATACAGTTTACTGGTCTGTTAACCTAATATATTATAATCTGTCTCCTTCGTGATTCTGACAAAATACTACAGTAAGTGTGGCTTTTTCAGATTTATGTTTTCTTAGTTTTTAAAAAAATTCTATGTTTATCAGGTCTAGATTTGGTCATTTTATAAATGTTTAAGTTTTTAAGGCGCAGTTTTGGTCTATACGCCTGTCAGTGAGGTCTATTCTAAAATGTTCTTAGTTTATCAGGTCTAGATTTGGTCATTTTGAAAATTGTTCAAGTTTTTCAGGCGCACTTTTGGTCTATACGCCTTACAGTGAGGTCTATTCTAAAATCTTCTAAGTAAATATGGTTTAGATTTGGTTTTTAAGGCGCAGTTTTGGTCTATACGCCTGAAAATAAGGTCTATAACTGGAATTATTGTGAGTAAATGAGGCTAGGTTTTGGTCTAAGCCTTAAAAATACCTGTAAAAGAGGCATACTTTTAGTCTAGACCTGAAAGTAAGGCGCATTTAAGGTTAACTTTTGGTCTACGCCTCAAAAACCTGATGATAGGCTGGGATGTTATAACAATAGCACATAATGCTTTCAAGAAATAAGCCCAAAAACAGGAATTTTATTGTTGTTGAATTAAGGTGGGCCCCTCATTAAATACACTGGATGAAACGTTCTGAAAATTTCTAAAAGCAGGGGTCATTGTTACAAGGGGATAGCATCTTTTCCATTCAATCGAGGTTGGGCCATGCAGCCGAAGGTGAGCCATACAACCAAATTTTGCCTATTTAATCTGACGGAGAATCCCGAGCCTCTCTTTTTGACCAATTAGAGACGTCCTCTTCACATTCGTGGTACCCTCGGCCAACTTACAAGAGGACACGGTCTTATTGCACAAAAAACTAAATAATCTGAAATATTCAAATGCCATTCATGTACAATATGAATATACTTTTACATTATATTATTGCACAATGGTCTCCTGGTTTCTTATTTTTGGGGTTCTACTGACGCAATAAAACAGTGAAATGGGCTGTAAATCCCTTTGCAATTGGTGGTTCTACCCAAAGAGGTTCCAACACAATCTTCAATCTCCAAGCAGATTATTAAAGGATGTATATAACTATCAATGGCTTAGAAAACAATAAAAATTAGTTTTTTTGAAGAATATCATCAATTAAATGCAATAAATACGCTTTCGCTATCTAATCAAATGTGAAAGTGCTCTAATAATGAAAGTGAAAGTATTTGGCCGTTGTTAGGAATTCCCCAAAACAAATGTCACAATGATTGTCTCCATACCATCCAATGCATATTACGTAATATTCGTGGCTGCTATTGTGAAAAACCAATGTAATGTGACGTCTTTCCCTAACAACGGCAGATTTGGAGAAACCCTCAAACTGTTAGTGGATTCCCCAAATTATTTTAAATTTATATACAAAATTAACTCTAACTTGGGTAAAATAAGCTTTCTACCACATTGCAATAGATTCCTCATATTAATACAAATATGTTATAACAATAGCACATAATGCTTTCAAGAAATAAGCCCAAAAACGGGAATTTTATTGTAATTGAATTAAGGTGGGCCCCTCATTAAATACACTGGACGAAACGTTCTAAAATTGCTAAAAGTAGGGGTCATTGTAACAGCTCCCACTCCGTCAATATTTTATCAATTTCTGTTTTCTTTATATGGAATGAAAGATGAAAATCCACTCCAAATACGTAATTAAAAATCAGTGTTATATATACACAGCAACATGCTGTATTAAATATTTGAAAAGGAGTGAAAATCACTTTTAGATTAATAGTTATATACAACCTTTAACTGATCATGCCTTAATTTGATACATCTTTTTTGGCTTTAGCATGGAATGCACGAATGAACTTATACATGTACAGATTATGACTATATCCTCTAGTCCGAAATATTTTTGAAAGGACCTTATACACCCTCCATTGGGATCTCCCCATGAGAAAAAAATAATTCATCTGATTTTTCAAAATGAGTTTTCTGCTTCAATTATTACATTTATATGCACACTAGTATCTTGTTGACCTATATTCAGCACTGTATTGATGTATAGGCCACTTATTAGGGTCATAATTCAATCATGAAGTGTAGAGGCATATGATTCCAAACCAGGAAGTATTTTTGTGTCTGTCAAAATCCATTTGCATCCTACGCATCCCTACATCTTATCCAAATATGTTACTACATAATGAAATAAAATAGTATATTCTTTGGTTTTACAAAGTTGTATGAATTTTGATAAGTGTAAAAGTTGTTTTTGGAGCATTTTTCTATAGCCATTTTGTAGGGAAAAAAATGATGAAAAAATGTACAATCTTTTAATTTTAAGTATGACCTGAATCGATTGCAAACTTCATATTTGCACATTTGATGAGATAAACCAATAGTGTCATATTGTGAAATTATTAAGTTTGCAATCGATTCAGGTCATAGTGTATTTTTGTGATAATCAATAGAAACCAATGGCCTCTATTGGGATCTGCTGATATCCTCATGTTAAGTCAATGATGAACAGCCCCATGTAAGTCAATACAACCTCACTAAACTAAATGGCCCCTATCTCAGCCTATGTGTGCCCGAGCACTTTAATATTTTCCAAAGAGTTATATGACATTCTATTCTTCATGTTACACCTAAGAATTATTCATTTTGACCATAGGGGTATTTGCCAATAAACGCACCTCTTCCTTTGGAATGAAAATATTCAGACTAGAGCCCACATGTTATAAGTAATGAAAACTATTATACACAGCAACACGCTGAATAAAGGCTTTGAAAAGGTGTCAAAAACACTTTGATAGTTATATACAACCTTTAATGTCTTATAATGTCATATGTGATTTATACAATATACAATATACATTGTACTTCTATTCACCCAGGCCGCTGCAGTAAATAGAACATTTGAAGTTGGTTACAAAACATTCCTGAAGGATGGAGAACCTTACCGTTACATATCAGGCAGTATTCATTATAGCAGGGTACCACATTACTATTGGAAAGATAGGTTAATGAAGATGAAAGCAGCTGGATTGAATACCATTCAAATGTAAGACTTGATATTTCAACTAAGGGGAAGGAGGGTAATGTTGATGTAGGGTATTTATGATAATCAGAAGTAAGGTCATCATGCACAGGGGCGTAACCAGCTTTCAGTCAGGGAGGGGTGTGATTGTGGCATAAACAAGCCAAAAAATTAAGATGTATCTTGAATTTTACAAAAATTGATGCAACTTCCTTCAAAATTAAGCTAGACGCTTCAAATAAAAAGCAGTTAAAGCTTTTTACTTCCTCTATTATATGGGGTGTGATTGCACATATCGCACCCCCCCCCCCCTCCCCTGGTTATGCCTATGATTCAAGAGAAAAAACATCAACTACTCAAGTCTGGATTGGATGAAGAATAAGTTCCTTTTTTATCGCACTTTGAAAAAGTTCTATATTGTCGTCGTCTAATGTGCTGTTGGGCGGGCGGGCGTGCGGTCGGGCGGGCGGGACATAAACCAAATCTTGTCATCAAATTTCCAGGATAACTGCTTACCTGTTCAAATTGAAATTTTTACAGATGCAAGAGCAGACTAGTACCAAGATCTGATTATGTTAAGGGCATGCTGGGTAAACTACGTGGTGGCCATTTTGAATTTTTCAACAAATCTTGTCATCAAAATTCCAGGAAAACCACCATTTTGAATTTTTCAATTTGGTGGCCATTTTGAATTTTTCAACTTGCTCCAAATTGACCAAATTTTTTTTTTAAAAACATCTACATGTTCTCAAAAGTTCAAATCTGACCTTAGATTTTAGATTTGACCTTTCATTCACCTTCAGTGACCTTGAAAAGGTAAAAAAAAATTGATTTTCTAAATTGATATTTTGGATTTAAATTTAGGTCAGCTTAATTACAAAACACCTACTGAGGTCTGAAAAAGTTAAATTTTCAAGGTCGAAGGTCAAGGTCATTAAACTAGGTCACAAATGATGTTATCCAAGTTTCTTAAAGTTTGAGACTACAAATCAATTCTTGTCATCAAAATTCCAAGAAAACAGCTAACCTGTTCAACTTGAAATTTTTACACATGCAATAGCAGACTAGTGCCAAGATCTGATTAGGTTAAGGGCATGCTGGGTAAACTACGTGGTGGCCATTTTGAATTTTTCAACAAATCTTGTCATCAAAATTCCAGGAAAACCACTTATCCGTTCAACTTGAAATTTTTACAGATGCAAGAGCAGACTATTGCCAAGATCTGATTAGGTTTTGGGTATGCTGGCTGAATTACATGGTGGCCATTTTGAATTTTTCAATTTGGCGGCAATTTTGAATTTTTCAACTTGCTCCAAAAAAGTTGATTTTCTAAATTGATATTTTGGATTTAAATTTAGGTCAGCTTAATTACAAAACACCTACTGAGGTCTGAAAAAGTGAAATTTTCAAGGTCGAAGGTCATCAAATTAGGTCACAAACGATGTTATTTAAATTTTCCCAAAGTTCAAGACTACAAATAAATTCTTGTCATCAAAATTGCAGGAAAACCGCTAACCTTGTCAACTTGAAATGTTTACAGATGCAAGAGCAGACTAGTGCCAAGGTCTGATTAGGTTTTGGCCATGCTGGGTAAATTGCATGGTGGCCAGTTTGCTCTTCAAAGTGCGATATTTATCACTGTGTGTCTTGTTCTTTTTTTCCATTTATTTAAATTTCCTAGATATTGATATATATACAAATGTATGCCTTTGTTAACTTAATAACATTAGCGGCATAGTAAATATTAAAAATATAACACAGGAATTTACACAATACAAAAATCACGTAGTATGTTCAGTCTGTATGTATGCTTGCTCCCCATCCCACCCATAAGGTTCCCAAAGGATTTTAGAATGTTTCACATGCTGTTTAAAACTGGGATTGCTGCTGAGACATAGTGAGCCACGATTTCAATAATTTTGCCATTCATCACATCACTAAGGTTGGTATTCCCATTCAAAAGTGTATCTGATTTCTTAGAGATTGTTAAATTTCTGAAATCGGGCAGACAAATAAGTTCCTAAGTAATCATCTTTCATCCTCCACATTAATGTTTGCTATATTGAAAAAATAACTTAAAATTTTTATAACTTACATATATCATTATATCATATATCAAATGAGACCATTCTGATTACAGGTATATAAACTGGAATGTCCACGAGCCCAAACCTGGGAAATACAACTTCACTGGCCAGCAAGATGTTGTGCAGTTCATGAAAATAGCTCAGGATGTTGGTTTAGATGTAGTACTCAGAGCAGGGCCTTATATCTGCGGGGAATGGGAAATGGTATTGAATCTATATTCTTCTATTGACTGATATTGTCTGTTTTTTCCTATTAAAATTACATTAATGATTTTATTGATCATTTTATAATTAGCTACAAATTACATGTAGGTCTGAAATTATGATTGTTCCAAAGTCTGAAGGCAATATTTGAAATTAAAGTTCTGTTCTGATTCCCTTGAACAGTTCTGTACCAGCTCTATAATGTTACTTTATTTTATCATTTTAGGGTGGTATCCCTCCTTGGGTAACAAAGAACAATGCCTCTATAGTGTTGCGTACAATAGACCCCCAGTACCTTGCAGCTGTAGACAGATGGCTTAGTGTACTACTACCTACAATAAAACCTATGCTACATATCAATGGAGGTCCAATACTGATGGTGCAGGTAAGGCAAATAAAATGACTTGTCACATGAAAATAATGCATGATATTTAAATGATTTCCCAGTTTTTAGTTTATCTAAGCTTGTATTCACGAATGCAACTTCCGGGATTAACCTACTATTTTATGACCTACTCATTCAAATATGAATGAGTTGGATACATGAGCAAATACAAGATTAGTGAAGTTATTAGCCATTTGATATCAACTTGAAAATACATGCACACAGTACTTCGTAAGTATAAAACCTGTCCAATTCAAAAGTCACTGGGACTGGCTCATAGTTTATGGAATAGCATGTGTTCATATTTCAAAGTTGGTTTATCAAGGGAGTACAGGTGGAACTGAAACTGTTCATATTAAGGGGAGGCATCAAAAGATTGATGTCAGATCGGAAACTTAATAAATTAGTTTTGACTCGCACCCCCCCCCCCCCCAAAAAAAAACACACCTAAATGCCATGAAAGTTGATCGCTGACTTCTGGTTTGAGAATTTGAAAAATGATTGCTAAACAAGATCTAGTTTTTTTGTTAATTCCTATCGTAATTTGCGGCTTTTAACAACTTTTGATAGAATAGAATCCATTGGAATGATCTTGACGAAGAAAGCATCAGGTAAAATCTTTATTTTTGAACCATTCCAAGGCATTCTGATCCAAAATTGCCAAAAATTTTAAATGTTGAAATTTGTCGGATAGCAAACTGGAACTGGGTTTGAACAGTTCTCCCCCTAACTAGATTTATTTAGTTCCGACATTGAACTTTTGATGCCTCCCCTAAGAGATGTGTAGATTACAGAGTTGTTTGAATATACAGGTTTTACTGTAGAGGTTACTATAAGTACATGTGAACATTCTTATGACAGAGTTGCATACTTATTCAAGATTTGCTAAATATTGCGCAGATGATTCAGTATACTAAATGTACACAGTCAATTCACAATTTGAATAGGAAAACATTAGAAAATTACTCAGGGTACGTTACCCTATGCTAGCCAATACATGTATCATTGGTCTAATCTCAACAACTCTCAATGTTTACCATGCTAAAAACCTGAAATTGTGAACACCTGCAAATCTGAAATCTTTTGGCTAATCCAAGTGGTGTCGGGATAAGATAGGTTTTACTGTACATTGTATATGGTTTCGTCTAGGTTGAGAATGAGTATGGGAGTTACTTTGTGTGTGACTATGACTACCCGAGACATCTCAGACTATACATTGTGTATGGTTTCTTCTAGGTTGAGATTGAGTAGGGGAGTTACTTTGCATGTGACTATGACTACCTGAGACACCTCAGACTATACATTGTATATGGTTTCTTCTAGGTTGAAAATGAGTAGGGGAGTTACTTTGCATGTAACTATGACTACCTGAGACATCTCAGACTATACATTGTATATGGTTTCTTCTAGGTTGAAAATGAGTAGGGGAGTTACTTTGCATGTGACTATGACTACCCGAGACATCTCAGACTATACATTGTATATGGTTTCTTCTAGGTTGAGAATGAGTATGGGAGTTACTTTGCATGTGACTATGACTACCTGAGACATCTCAGACTATACATTGTATATAGTTTCTTCTAGGTTGAGAATGAGTATGGGAGTTATTTTGCATGTGACTATGACTACCTGAGACATCTCAGACTATACATTGTATATGGATTCTTCTAGGTTTAGAATTAGTATGGGAGTTACTTTGTATGTGACTATGACTACTTGAGACACCTCAGACTATACATTGTATATGGTTTCTTCTAGGTTGAGAATGAGTATGGGAGTTATTTTGCATGTGACTATGACTACCTGAGACATCTCAGACTATACATTGTATATGGTTTCTTCTAGGTTGAGAATGAGTATGGGAGTTACTTTGTATGTGACTATGACTACCTGAGACATCTCAGACTATACATTGTATATGGATTCTTCTAGGTTGAGAATGAGTATGGGAGTTATTTTGCATGTGACTATGACTACCTGAGACACCTCAGACTACAATTCATCAACTACCTAGGCACAGAAGCACTACTATTTACCACTGATGGGGCTGGGGAAAATTACCTTAAATGTGGAACTCTGGAAGGCTTGTATTCAACAGTTGACTTTGGTCCAGGTATGTAAAGTTATTGAGCAATGAACACTGACAGATGGATATGATTGATGGCATATTTAAGCAATGTGAGAATCATCAAATTATTGAATATAATGGCCACTTAAAAAGTCAATAACTATGAATTCTCATTTTTAATAATTCTAGAAATATTTTATTATTCACAAACTTTTTTTTTCTGAAAATATCAAAACTTAACCATTACTTTTTTGTTTAATAAATATAATTGATCATAGCTCATTTGATTAAAAAAAGGATTTCTACGAGGTGGCAAATTCTCTTGAAATCTCAGTGTCTTAAAGCAGATATGAAATGGTATTTTTAACCTTAGCTAAAGGAATCAATATAATTTTTTGATAAATGTATTTGGACATGTTTTCTCATCAGTATTGTGAAAATTATTTCTCTCTAACGATCGTTATAGCTGCTTAATAAGCAATATTCGAATTGGTTTTGACGTTATTGGCCCCCACGTGATCTGTCACTGGTCCCCACGTGGCCTGTTTCGGTCCATTAGATCATGACGTCATAATGCCAAAATGTTTTGTTACTTGTAACAACCCTATGGTTGCCGTGACGTTTTGATTACTAAGGAACCAATAAACCAAAGCTGTATTTTGTATATGACGTTACTAATCACGTGGGGGCCAATTTGATTGATCAGTTAGTTTTATTTCGTTATCTATGACCGTTAGCAGTTATCTAACATTTATTATCCCATCGAACGAAGTTCGGAGGGATATAGGGAACGCCTCCGTCCGTCCGTACGTACGTCCGTACGTACGTCTGTACGTACGTCCGTCTGTCCGTCCGTTCGGGCAATAACTCAAATACCGTTGGCCCGATTTTATTCATATTTTGTACACATATACCCTATGGAGGTAGAAGTTCTGCTCGAAAGCCGATTTTTAAAATGGCCGCTCATTTAAAAATGGCGGCCATTTTAGTGCCGATTTTACAGTAATTTAGGTGCAATATGTAAAACTGTAATAGCAATATGTTTTAAATGTAAAAAAAATTATATAGGACATTAATAAAGCTAGTAATGTAGATATTAAAAAAGCACATGGCAGCCATCTTGAAAAATGGCGGCCTTTACTCATTATTTTACGATTTTTGCTGTAACTCGAAAAGTAGTGGAGCGATTTTGTTCATATTTGGTATGTGAATACTATAAGCATGGCACACTGTCTAATGAAGCTTTTGATAGAAGGCGGTCATTTTGAAAAATGGCGGACATTTTGAAAAATGGCCGCCATTTTTACTTATTTTACTAAAACTCGAAAAGTAGTGGAGCGATTTTGTTCATATTTGGTATGTGAATACATATAAGCATGGCACACTGTCTAATGACACTTTTGGTAGAGGGCAGTCATTTTTCAAAATGGCCGCCATTTTAACGTATTTTACTATAACTCGAAAAGTAGTGGAGCGATTTTGTTCATATTCGGTATGTGAATACTGTAAGCATGGCACACTGTCTAATGACACTTTTGGTAGAAGGCAGCCATTTTGAAATATGGCGGACATTTTGAAAAATGGCTGCCATTTTAACTTATTTTACTATAATTCGAAAAGTAATGGAGCGGTTTTGTTCATATTTGGTACGTGAATACGTATAAGCATGGCACACTCAGTCTAATGACACTTTTGGTAGAAGGCGGCCATTTTTCAAAATGGCCGCCATTTTAACGTTTTTTACTATAACTTCAAAAGTAGTGGAGCGATTTTGTTCATATTTGGTATGTGAATACTTTAAGCATGGCACACTGTCTAATGAGACTTTTGGTAGAAGGCGGCCATTTTTCAAAATGGCCACCATATTAACGTATTTTTTTACTATAACTCGAAAAGTAGTAGAGCGATTTTGTTCATATTTGGTATGTGAATATTATAAGCATGGCACACTGTCTAATGACACTTTTGGTAAAAGGTGCCCGTTTTGAAAAATGTTCGATGGGATTCGCTACGCTTTGGCGTTGCCGTTGTTCTGGTTTTATAATGGCTATCGCAAGAACTCTACAAGGGCCGATCAAAAAGTTTCTTACCGTTGGCTCTCAATTTTATAATAAGAGGAGTTGGAAGCTCAAACTTTAACATGAGACAGGATAGTTAGTTTGCTTGAATCTGTACGAGTTTCATATAAATTGGTTTATTGGTAGTGACACAGAGTCAATACATATTTTCAATGACAAAGTTAGGTGGAGTAGCGTTATATATAAAATATATGCCGAGTTGTGGTTCTGGAAATTTACCGAAATCGTTTCAAACCTCTCATATGAAGGCCTTAAACATGTGTTTTTGGATCGAGTGGACAGATATAGGAAGTGCATTGCAACTGGGGTTGACTATTTTGAATGAGAATGAATATTAGCAGAAAAAATAGTTAAACATGATTAAACTACACAGTCTGTTGACAGATGATACTACTTAGTGTTAGAAATTTTCGAAATCTGCAACTTAGCACAATTTTTTATAAAAAACGCTGCTCCACCTAATTCGATCATTGAAAATATGTATTGACTCCGTGTCACTACCAATGAACCAATTAAAATGAAACTCGGACAGTCTCAAGCAAACTTACTACCCTGTCTCATGTAAAAGTTTGAGCATCCAACTCCTCTTATTATAAAATCTAGAGCCAACGGTAAGAAACATTTTGATCGGCCCTTGTATGTTGGGCTTACAATGGAAAAAAAACGCATTTTTGTAGCTGCAAGTTGAGAAAAGCTATTTCAGTTGTCCTTTAATGATTTAATTGTCTTATTCCAGGAGATGCAGTGAATTATTTTAAGCCTATGCAAAAGTGGGAGCCAAATGGTCCTTTAGTAAGTAGACTTTTTACCTAATATATTTTTAGGGATACTTCCTGTTATTAAAAATAATATTACTTTAATTTTTGCATGCAGAGTAGCATATTCAATTGTAGTATACTCCAATTACTGTTTTTTCCCCAAAGTGTTATATTTTATGTCTGATTAAGTTTGCCATGTGTCTTATATTCATTTTTCCTGTTTAGGTCAACTCTGAATACTACACTGGCTGGTTGGACCATTGGGGCTCCCCCCATTCTCAACGTGACATCCCATCTATTGTGAATACATTGAAACAGATGCTTGACTTGGGAGCAAGTGTAAATATGTAAGTAATGTACAGTTAGACCTATCTGTTTTGGATGCAAATGGGACCAGACAAGTTTGTTCTGATTGGCATGTGTCACATTTTGAGGCTTTTTAACATTGTAATTTATGACAGATTGAAAAATGGGACAGAAAAAGGTGTCCAAATTAAGAGATGTTCAGACATACAGGTTTACTGTACAACAAATTGGGACAGTTACCAAAGGTTTGCAGAGGTGTTTTCTTAAGTTCTCTGGTTAAATGTGCCTAGATCTGCACTCAGAGCTGTCAAGTGTCCCGCGAATGGCGGGATTATCCCGCGAATTTGATCAAAATTAGGCTTATTCGCGTGTCCCGCAATGTCCCGCGAAGTCCCGCAAATGTGGTTTTGACCTCCGCGAATTTCCGAAATTGTTTGAATCCCCTATATTGTGATTATCTTATCTTATATAAGAAGCCAAGTTTTTGCACTTTTGAGGAGTAAAGTTTACCTAATTTTAAGTACCTAGCATGCTGTTGTTTGGTATGAAAATAAAGAGGAAGGGTTCAACTTTCATTTTAATTACGAAAATAGGGATGTAGGTCAAAAATAGTTCTAACGTTGGCAAACGCGAGTTACAATAAATGGACGCTGATATCTAGAAAGGGTTTGTAGAAAAACCGGGTACCGGGTAGTAAATCCTCCATGCTGGGTTCAAACTTGGTACCCGGTACCCGGTCAAAAAACGGGTACCCAAAAAACGAAAAATACGAATATATAACATAATTAGATTATGAGAAAACGTGTAAGATTTGTTTTGAATTCACAAAAATGTATGTATCCTTCAAAATTGAGCTAGAAGCTTCAAATAAAAAGCATATTTAAGGCTCCTTTCTTCCTCCCCCCCTTCATTACCAATGGAAATATGACCATGATGATAGAGGACAAAAAGAGCCTTAAAATGCTTTTTCTTTGAAGCTTCTAGCTCAATTTTGAAGGAAGTTACATACATTTTTGTCTATTCAAAACAAATCTTACACGTTTTTTTAGTATATTCGTATATTTCGTTTTTTGGGTACCCGGTTTTTTCGACCGGGTACCAAGTTTGAACCCAGCATGGAGGATTTACTACCCGGTACCCATTTTTTTCTACAAACCCTATCTAGAAAAGTAACCCCATTCCCTATAATTTGATGTAGATTAATCGAACCCCGATATCATGGGCTTTCAATTGAAAGAAAATGCCTACAGTATATGAATAGGTACATTTTAATATATAACATTATGGGGGTAAGCGTTTCATAGTTGTTCACGACGCCAGAAATGCAAAGTATTGTTCCGAATTTTTGAATTTCGTGTTAGATTACGGTACTCACACCTGAAGCATGGTTTTTGCTTTTGAAAAATTACAATAAAGTTTAATACTATTCCTATACGTATTTTGTGAAATTGTGTTGACGTTTATTTAAGTTACAATACAACGGTGCATTGTATTTGATTAATCAGTATTTGGAAGTTTGATTTAAGTACTTTTACACGCTTTTACATTAGTCCCAATCACGCAAATCCTTGAATGTCCCGGGACATCCTGCAAATTTAGGTGAATGTCCCGCGAAATCCCGCAAATTTAGGGCACTTTGTCTAAAAAATCTGTCCCTCTATCAAGTTTTTGGCGTTAAACCTGTTACTATCCCACAATTAGGGTGTTTGTCCCTCGAATGGTCCCGCGAAATCCCGCGAATTTGAGAAAAAAAAGATGGCCTATTAGCGCAATCACGCAAATCCCTTAAATGTCCCGCGAAATCCCGCGAATTTAGTAGATGTCCCGCAAAATCCCGCGAATTTTTGGCACTGGGTCTAAAAAATCTGTCCCGCGGGAAAATCTTTAGGGGTTGACAGTACTGTGCACTGAAAAGAATACATGAAATTATTCTAAATATGATATTGTACCAATGACAATTAAATATATATTCAAACATATGCTTGGAAAATAATTAAATCTTACAACAGTGAAATCGATCGTGTGCATATATTGAATTTAGGATCTTGAATTTTTTTCATATTTTAGTTAAACTTTATTTTATCATACTAAAATATGTTCTAATGTATTTTAAATATTCATTACAAATTGAATTGAATTATATATTCTCGTCATACTGAATTGAATTTTTTTGTATGTTGTTGAAGTGTGTTGTTTATATAAAAGTTTATTGTATACATCAAAGTGTATTTTTGTATATATTCCAGGTATATGTTTGAGGGTGGTACTAACTTTGGTTTCATGAATGGAGCCAATGGGGCCCACCCAGGCTTCCAACCTGTGCCTACCAGCTATGATTATGATGCACCATTGAACGAGGCTGGTGATCCTACTCCTAAATACATGGCTATCAGGGACCTACTTGCTAAAGTAAGTGTAGATGGTACCTGTATATGAATTGTAATTCTGATGTACCATGGTAACTTTCCCAGGTTGTGTGTGCAAAACATTTTTCATTTTGGGCCTGGATTTTGAACTATTTGGTTCTCTTAAATTAGTTCTCATTGTTTAAAAATAGTCTATTCGATAAAAGGATCTGAATTGTTTGCATGGAAGAATTTTATGGGATGACTTCCATGGAACCATAAGTTTACTATATATAGTATATACATAAAGTTCATGCATTACTCATTATAATATTTTATTTGATTTATTGCAGTATAACACAGGCCCCCTCCCTCCTGTACCCCCAGCTCTGCCCAAGTATGCATATGGTACAGTGCAGATGAAGTTTGTAAGTTGACCTTTATTAGTAATAGTATTTGTATAGAACAGCCCATTCTACTATAATACCAGACCCCCTCTTCTCTGCCGTTGGTGGAATTCCACTTTGGAAAGATCAAAACAAAAGGGGCATTGTTATCGCAATGTGAACAGCCTTCTGTCTGCAGCAATGCTCAAATATGATATTCCCATATCCAGCTAATTTTAAAGGAGATTAAATTTTCTTTATACCATCATACTACAGTACAAAATTAAAGTAGATTTCCCAATTTTTCTGTATTCTGCGTTTCATCGTCTTTGTGTCATTAATTGACGTTTTAGACGCATTTCAAGTAAGTTATGCATTTCTCATTCTCATATCCGTCTACAATAAAAAGGTGAAAAGTTAAATTATGAAGCATAAAATGGTCCAACCGGCATGTAAAAATACAATCAATCGATATTCTAAGTTGACTTTTATAATTCTCCCTTGCCACTATACTATCCTAATGCCGTTTCTGGTTTTTATATCACCACCAGAAGTAAGGCATTCGGCATCTGTAACCAATGGCATGTTAATGCCTTGTCTCATCATTCCTTTGAAATTGTGCCATATATTTAAGTAGGGGTGAGACGACAACCCGATGAGTCGAGGACTCGCGGGTTTGGGGCTTCGAGTCGAGTCGAATCGAGTCGAAGTTGATGAATCGAATCATTTTCGAGTTGAGAAAAAAATTCGAAAAAATAAAAAAATTCAGAAAAATACTGTCAATATGCATGTTTTTACTCTATATTGCGTTGAATATATAAGTTTCAATGACTTGGATATGCTTGTATTAAATTATTATATTGTATGTACACATAAATGAAAGAATATATGTAATAAAATCAGAATAAATTTACGACGAATTGTGTTTGTTTATATTTCCGGCTTTCCACCATTGACGCATTAAAAATACGAACGGTCAAAAGCGATGTTGTTCGCACTTCGCGCGACTCGAAACGGATTCGAAACTCGAATCGTCATTTTCTGACTCGAATCGGATTCGACTCAAATCGGATTTTTTCGACTCGTCTCACCCCTATATTTAAGTGTTACTGTTTCATTTGATATTTTGATTATCCATAATAGCTTTGAAGTTACTTGCTAAGTTTGGAAATGGTAATTAACCTGTCATCTTGTTTACTTTTATGGCTACCTTGTTTATGTTTCAAGGTATCTACTGTAGTTGAAGCCCTGCATACACTCTCTCCTGAACCTGTACAGTACAAGTGGCCTCTATCTATGGAACAAGTTAACCAGGTTTGTAAACAGTTGAAAACGAAGGACTGGTTGGGGAATTTAGTTCACCAAACCCCACCTAGTCCTTTATACATTTTTGTCATTATCATTCATCTTCTTTGATTCCCTTGTAATTTTCTAAAATTGATATTTGGATGTTTTAAATTTTCAGTTTTATATTCTGACATTTAAGAGTTTTGGTTATTTTTTCTGGTTTCCTTCACAGTGAAGTTGTTTCTGAAGATTCAATATTAGCCACACACTTATTTTTGTCTATAAATCAGATGTTATCACCTTGAAGATGAGATCTCAAAGATGAAATATCAAGATTTTCAACCTCTCTTTATGGAACAGTTGTCAAGAGCCAAGTCTCATTGGCTAACGTGTTAATTAACCCTCTCTGTAAGGAAAAAACCTCCCTAAAAAGAAGTTTTGGTCAGCATTGATATTGTTCCATACACACAGGTTTTACCATATTATGAGTTTCGTTTTATTTTCAGAACTATGGGTTCATTGTATACAGACATTTGCTCAGAAAGAACTACACTTCTCCCACACTTGGTTGCCTCGGAGTCAGAGATAGAGCCTATGTTATGATTGATAAGGTATTTCTTAATTTCTATAATTGCACCACATATTGTTATAGTCTCCAAATTTTTGGTGTTGGCTGTCGGCGCTCGGAATTGGGCACTTGGCATCTGTAACAAATGGTAGGTGGTGAGATTTTGCAAGTTAATGCCTTGTTAATTATTTAATCTAGCTTAAGAGAGTTAGCAGTTTACAATATTATTATAGTTACCCTCTAGGCATCTACATTGCATAAATGAGAAATACATGAACATGTAGCTGCATTAATGTGTTGCAATAAATGCCTTTGTGTATTCTATGAAATTCTGTTGATGACTGAAATGGTTAAGTTATCATGAACTGATATTTTATCACTGCCTCTCACTACTATTTCGAGTTCCAAATGTTTGGACAAGTTCTGATATTTCCCAATGTCTTACATAAGGGTGGAAGGATAAATATTAGTAGTTTGTTTGTGTTATTTTCTTTATATAGATAGACTTCAGTTTTTTGGATACACAGCAATACAGCTGCAGTCTGTATTTCAGTCATGTGGTTCTATTCTCAAACATACACCCTGTTTTGGCCTGTTATGTCACCACCACAAGTGGTGAGGTATTTTTATAGTTTTCAATCTTTTTGGGGATGGTGTTTGGCAGTCAGCAGGGTACTGTACTAGACTTTTCATTGTTAAGGATTTTTAAAAGAAATATGAATGCGATGAATGATTTATTAATTGTGCATTTTTCTACAGCAACCTCAAGGAATCATGAATGGAGATGGGCCTAACTCTCTGAATGTATCCATAGTTGCTGGTCAAACTATTGATATTATAGTAGAAAACCAGGGCAGAATCAACTTTGGCACTAGTATCAATGGAAACTGGAAGGTAAATCACACTATTATCACTAATGTAACACTAAACCATAATACATATTATTCATTTTTTTATTAACATCACATAGAAATAGACACACTATTTTCACTAACATCTAGAATTCACTATACAATGTGTCATATTCAGTTTTTATGAAAAAATATTTAGAGATTTCTGATATGACAATTTTACATGGGTGTATTTTCAAGGATTAGGATTGAAAAAAACTTAAGAGTGGTTGATATCCAGGCCCGTAGCCATGATTTGCCAAGGGGGGTTCACTTTTTGAATATTTCCAGGGGGGGTTCACTTTTGACAATTTTGGTCCAAAATCACTTAAAATGTGCTCAGAATGATGAAAAACTGCATGATTTTGAAAGAATTTTTGGCCAGGGGGGGGGTTGTTCGAACCCATCGAACCCCCCCCCCCCCTAGCTACGGGCCTGATATCCATTATGATAATGATTAGTTTAAATACATATTTGATGGACCATAAGTAAAACATTGCAATTGGCTTTTTTAGGGTTTAATTCAGAATGTTACCATGGGAACAGAAGTGTTGGAAGATTGGGAAATTTTCCCCCTCCCTCTTGATAACATCAATGAAGAAACTTTGAGAAAACTGGAACACAGGTATGATCTCGGTTGTCTCCCCCAATGTAAATACATGTATTATATTAGATGTCTCTCCAAAATAAAGTTATAATCCCAATTGTCCTATAAAGCACTGATACCTTCTCACTTTTGGATCAGTAATAAAAATCCTTGAATTAGTGTCACAAAATGCACGCTGTTTTTGCTTCTTTGCTAGCTATATTGTCATAATTTGATACTGTTGTTATTTGATGATTTAAATTCTTGATTTGCAGTGCCAGATCATCTCCACATCTGGGAGCTTTAAAGCAGGGTGGTTACCATGGTAAAGCTGATACTGTTGTCTTGACTCCTTCTCTTTACAAGGGAACATTCCAAGCTCCCAATAAGCCAGGCTTCCTTCGGGATACTTTCCTCAATATGGATGGATGGTTTAAGGTAAGAAGAACTCTAAGTTATAACTGTACTGATACAGACTTTTCCCACAATTTTGTTTATATTTAATCTTTGTTTATATTTAAACTTGGAAGTCTGAAACATTGTCTTTTAGAAAGTGATGTCCATTTTCATAAGTATATTTTAATTTTTTGTATTAAAAAATTGGTGATGATGTCATTTTCATATGCTGATATTTTATGTCATATATTTTATGTGGTAAAGCCATTTCAAGAAGCAATTGCTACCAGTCAGGTGTTTACAACTACAAGGTGTTCAATTGGATTTGTTACACCTTCGCTTGGCATTGCTGTTATAGATTGCTGTTGTACATTTTGAGTTTCCTTTCAGGGCCAGGCATTTATGAACGGCTTCAATCTGGGGAGGTACTGGCCAGTGAAGGGTCCCCAAGTCACCTTGTATGTACCTTCAGGGGTCCTTAAAGCATATCCTGCAGAGAATGACCTTGTGATGATGGAACTGGAATGGGCCCCTTGTGCTATGAACAATAATCAAATAGGAGATGATTGTACAGTGAAGTTTATTGATACTCCAATAATCAATTCTACAAGTATTGCAGTGTCACAATTTGGACACTCTCCTTAGACATGTACATATGCTGAAAATGTCATCTTCGTCTGATATCCATATTTTTTTATTTTCCCTGCTTTCTAACTGATATTGTCCAATTGGTAACAGTTGTGGACAAATGAAGTTAATTTCATGAGTGGGGGGATTATTAATGATGATTTTGTTTGTAAGGTTTTTTCAACATTTTGAAATTGTAAGTGGGATGTATTAACATCCAGTGATAGACTCAAAGACAACTAGGATTTATGCTTATATATGTATTTATGCTTATATATGTATTTACATATCCTGACTATGACCGAATGGCATTTTAGCAGCAGCATGTAGGTAATCTTATATGTCTCCTTTATCAGCTGATATTTGTATTTCATATCTCAAAAGTTAAGTCATACCAGCATTCTTTACAGAATTTTTTCTCAAGTGGGTGCAAAATTCTCATTTTCACAATTCAGACCAAAATTGTTCAATATATGCCATTTTTATGATTTTTCTTATTTTCAAGTGTGTGCAAATGGATTTTCAGTTAAGTGCAAGCCTGTTTTCAAAATCTCAGGTGGGTGCTGTGCCCACTTGCTTTAATGCTGGGGATAGCACTGCATACTCTTTTTTTATCAATAATATTGGTAATTTTGGTAAATAAGAGATACAAATGCTCTAATGCAACAATTTTCTTTTAACATGGGATGAACATAATTATTAGTTATGTTGATAAGTGAGTAAAGTTTTTGCCCATTCTAGATGTCAAGCTTAGTCCTTCATTTCAACACTGTTTAATTTCATAAATGTCTATTTTCTGTTCTTCTGTGAACATTATCAAAAAATGTAACAAAAACATCGTAAATTCACATTGCCTTTTATAAAGCATTGATTTTCCTTTTGAAATATAATATACTCACATTATACTGTATATACATTGTACTGAATATAATCATTCAAAATGTAATTTTGCTATTGAATGTACATAACCTGATAGTATGTTGATAAATTAGTTTCAGTCAATACTGTGGAATATATTTTTTAAAAAGTGCCATTTTATGGCTTTGGCCTTTGTCAATTTCTAGTGCAATATAAGAGTGAATAATATTATTCCCAGTCCATTATGTAATTTAAAGAATTTTATTACAAATTGCATGATTAGAAGGTTTATAGCTGCAGATTTGTAGATATTAAAGGCAGAATCAGATCTATTTATTAGGGAGTGACAAAATTGGAAGAAATATGTACAATTGACGTACCAATTCCTTACAATTTCAAATATAATGTCTCCCAAAATATCCAGGCTATGTTATCAATTTTTTATTTAGAAAATAGACATGACAAGGAATGATATTATCCCAAAATATTCTAAAATTGAAACAATTTTTGTCAAGAGTACTCTTGACGATCTTGCTAGATCTGATTCTACCTTAAATGTTTGAGAATTGTTTCAGTCAAAGTAGAATTATTATTAATTTACAAATCAAATAATTGTATATTTGCAAAGATTGTTTGTTTGTCTGCTTATCAGAATATATATTGTTTATGTTTTTATGTCCCCACCACATAGTGTTGGGCCATATTGTCGGCCTAGGCGTGATAATTTTGTAAAAAGATTTCAACAAAAACTCATAATCACTTTTTTATTGTCGGCCATTTTGGATTTTTCCGTCCTATAATCTTGTCTGTAAAGTCTTGTCTACGCGTTTTCAGGTGAACCGTTTGGTAGATCAATTTCAAATTTTCAGGGATGATTCTTAGTATGAGAATCTAGATCTGATTAGTTTTTGGGCATTCTGGGTAAATGTCAAGGCAGCTATTTTGGATTTTTCGTTCTAAAATTTTGTCTTTAAAGTCTTGTCTACGCATTTTCAGGTGAACTGTTTGGTAGATCAATTTCAAATTTTCAGGGATGATTCTCAGTATGAAAATCTAGATCTGATTAGTTTTTGGGCATTCTGGGTAAATGACAAGGCAGCCATTTTGGATTTTCCGTCTTAAAATCTTGCCCGTAAAGTCTCGTCTACGCGTTTTTAGGTGAACCGTTTGGTAGATCAATTTGAAATTTTCAGGGATGATTCTCAGTATAAAAATCTAGATCTGATTAGTTGTTGGGCATTCTGGGTAAATGTCAAGGCAGCCATTTTGGATTTTCTGTCCTAAAATCTTGTCTGTAAAGTCTTGTCTACACATTTCCCGGTGAACTGTTTGGTAGATCAATTTCAAATTTTCAGGGATGATTCTAAGTATGAAAATCTAGATCTGATTAGTTTTTATGCATTCTGGATGAATGTCAAGGCAGCCATTTTGGATTTCCCATCTTAAAATCTTGCCCGTTAAGTCTTGTCTACGCGTTTTTAGGTGAACCGTTTGGTAGATCAATTTCAAATTTTCAGGAATGATTCTTAGTTTGAAAATCTAAATCTGATTAGTTTTTGGGCATTCTGGGTAAATGTCAAGGCAGCCATTTTGGATTTTCTGTCCTAAAATCTTGTTTGTTAAGTCTTATCTACGCATTTCCAGGTGAACCGTTTGGTAGATCAATTTCAAATTTTCAGGGATGATTCTTAGTATGAAAAACTAGAACAGATTAGTTTTTTGGCATTCTGGATAAATGTCAAGGCAGCCATTTTGGATTTTCTGTCCTCATATCTTGTCTGTAAAGTCTTGTTTACATGTTTTCTGGTTAACTGTGTGACGGATCAATTTCAAATTTTCAGGGGTGGTTCTTAGTATGAAAATCTAGAACTGACTAATTTTTTGGCATTCTGGGTAAATTTTAAGGTGGCCATTTTGGATTTTCCGTCCACAAATTGTGTCGGTTAAGTCTTGTCTACTCATTTTTAGGATAACCATTTGACAGGATCACCCAAAAGGTGGGGACATTTTGTACACATTTGTGTTCTTGTTCAACAATTTACAATGGCTACATTTATATGCATGACACTTCAATATATATTTTTATTATAAAATAGCATTTTACAGACCTGTACAGATGGTTAAACAATTCATGTTTTTAAAATTGTACTCTGACTAAGACTGTATGACATTCCATTATGCATTTTATGAGAAACATATGTTTATATTATTATAGCAACAAATATATTAAATTAAATTGTTGAACGGGATACTGCTAAGAGTACTGTTAGTGTATAATTATATATGACAAAATGATTAAATAAAAAAAGACTATATTAAATACAATTGTTTTTTCTTGTAAAACTAACCTCTTATGACACAAATCCCTTTTATAAAGTTCAATATACATGTTCCCCATTAAATGTAAATCTTTGACTGAAAGGCATTATATTGTACATGACGTACAATTAATACATTTACACACTCATAGATAACCAATTTAAATCTTCATGAATATCCAGTTTCATACAGTGGTATTCCTTTCATAAATCTGCCCAATTAAGGAAATAAGTAAAATTTACAGTAAAACTATATCTGAGCACCTATTATCTAGAAATGTGTACACTTCTCACTCTCCCCCATTTTTTAATCTGCCAATGAGGTCAAAGTAGTGTTCAGAAATAGACAGGTTTCATTGTATATCTTTATAAATTCCTGAGTAATAGAGCTGAGCTGCACTGTAAACATATATTTTATACAGGTGATTTCATTGTTGTACTCCGCTACAGTAAAGTTGCATCAAAATAATTGGCAAGTATCTATCAGAATATGCATATAATGTAGAATATTACTATAAAATCACGGGCAAAAGGTAGCCTTTAAACTTTAATTTTGTGAACTTTTCTCACTTTACAGTATTTTTAAATGTTTAGAATCCATTATGATTCAATATTGTTTCTTACTGACTTGTGGTGTAAAGAACTTTCTTTGATTGTAACAGCGATAAGCGATCAACTGAGGCACAATGGCAAGCCCAAGATTAATTAACCAGAACCACATGTTTCCTTGTGGAAACATCTTTACTCTAAAATCAGCTGGGGTTCTTGGGTAAAGGGCTCCTCCTATGAAGCATACTTGGGATTGAATCGCTGCTCCTGCATGAATCATGGACCAGTCAACCATCCATGACTGACCAGGGGAAAGAAATCCATAAATTGCCATCACGTAGTAAAGTGAAAAGTAAAAGAAGTAAACAAATCCTTGCATTTTTCCGTAAGAAGCGGGATCATTCAAATAAGGCTCAATGTTACTCAGGTAACTTGTGAAAAATTCCATGTCACATCCGAGCAGTGAAAATCCACGGATTATTGAAACTACCAAGGCTGCGACAAGGTAAAGTATAAAGAAGATATCTTGAGGCCGTTGGAAGATAGTAACATGATGTTCATTAGCCATTTTAACTGATATGCTCTGGTTTGGTCTTTGCTTTAAAAAGCATCCTGTTGCAATAATCGGGAAAATGAACCATGGCATGTTCATAAGATAAGCGGATTTGATTCCAAAGTTCCCAACGACGCTGCCGACTAAAAGAACAATCATACTGTTGATTAGTGAGCCTGCCCAGTAAAGTCCTAGTATCCTGTAGTTCTGTTTGTTGGAAATGGCACGCATCATAAGCAAATACATTGCTAAATGTCCCGTTCCATCCCAATACGAACATAGAGCTCCATATGGTGTTGTTAGATACACTTCCCCGTTCTTGAAATAAAATGCGAAGAATCCATTGATATACTTGTCGGCCTCCAGAGCAATCAACATACTACAGATTGCACCAAATGATGCGAGGGTATAGAAGTAGTAGAATGGATCATGTGGTCTGTTCTCCCTAAGGAGAAAGTACATAACCATGACAACACCTAATAATATTGAGAATCCAATCAATGGTATCATTCCTTCTAACTCCATTGTCTGCACTAAATTCACATTGTAAGTTATTGGAATCGCCGTGAATGCGATAATAAGAGATTTTAGCCACGGTGCAATTTCCATTTTGCAATAAAAGCAGTTTAATCATAGAAAAGGTCGAGGTCCAAATTCTTTAAAAAATGACAACCGGAAGTTTTAATTAGAAAGGAAGTAAGTTCACACTCGTTAGATGAGCGATAATGGAGTAATATAGATTTGTGTTAGTTTTATCTGTTTTTATCGGTTTATATGCAATATATTCGAATAAAATTAGATACGAAGTAACCAATATTTGGCAATGCTGATGAAGTAATGTTAAAAATCTAGATAGTAAGTATCATGGCTCTGCAAACGTTCAAATGAGCTAGCAAGTGGCTACTGGCTACTACGTGTTTTTGCTAGAGAGCCGACAATTTCATAAATAAATCGACTACTTTTACTTTTAGAAATAACCTCATCACTGGTAGCCTCGTGGTTAGCGAGCACGACTCGAACACACTCGGGGCTTTGTATAAAAAACCTCCTACCCAGGTACCCTCGTACCCACGTACGTGGGTCCTGACCCAGTCTTTAAAGAGTTAAATTTTTAAATGTTTAAAACATTATTCAATCTCAGTTTATCCTGAATTATAGATGAATTTATGCATCCATATGGCTTTATTTATAGGTCTGACATCTCTCTAGTAAAATAAAATAAAGCCGGAATTGCATAAATGTTCATTATTTTTGAGCTATTTGATTTATGTTTTTGATATGTCGAAATGTTTTTTGTTGATCGGGCAGTCTTACCTGTTTAACACATCAGTGCTGATTAGCAATCTCCTAGCCTTCGTTCAGTGCAATCCGTGCCTCCTGTTACCTCATGCAGATTGTAAATGTCCCGGGAAGTTTACCCTTGTCCAAAAGTTGACATCTTTTTAAAAATATATTTCTTAGAGTTTCCAACCAATTAAATTCACCACATTTTATTAGATGTTTATTTCAAATGTTATTAGAATTCATTCTTACGAATATTATACGTTATTAACGTATGTTAGTCAAAGATTTGGTGTCGTTGTTGTCCATTGTATTCACGTTTTACGCGCAAAAAGCTAGAAACTACAAAGCTGAACTTTTATCATTCAAACCAGTTTTACATCAAATCATTGTCAAAATAAAACTACTCTTCATATTACCTAATTATGTATCAAACGGCCATGAATAATGTCGAAGTTTACAAAACCAAACTTACACTCCCCTGCATAAGTTTGGCAACTCTAACTTTTAATTCCATCTAAATGATTCACTGAACTAGTGCGCACAATTATCCTTAAATTGTGCCAAAAAGCGATAAAAAACGAATATAGCGAATCCTTCTACTTTTCAAATATTTCGTTATTTAATTGCGCCACGGTTAAACAGAAATGCAGCCTTTATTATTCCTTGAGATCGTGTGAATTGATCACTCTATCACTTTGTATCTCCAATTCTGATGTTAAATTAAATAAAAGACATAAGACAAATTACACGTATAGTTCAAATCTGTCGTGCAAACAATGAATACTTGTAATATCGTTTGAAAGAATAAAAAGTATATGTGATAAAAATCGAAACTACAGGGTGTTAAAAAACAGGACCGATGAAAAGTTGAATAACTTCGTCAATCCAGAATCATTCAGGTCATTCAATGTGAATTTTGTTGTGAAAGTTTGACCATATTCTGCTCATGGAGTCAAAAACTACAGCACTTTACAACACATGCCCCATGTGGCCAATTCGCGCCAAGCAATAGATTGGTTGTACACTGTAAGACTGCCCGATCAACAAAAAATCGCTTCGATATATCAAAAACAACACTCAAATAGCTCAAATGAACATTATGCAATGCCGGCTTTATTTTATGACGAGACAGATGTCCGATCTAGAAATAAAGGCATATGGGTACATAAATTCATCCATAATTAAGCATACATTGAGATAGAATAATGTTTAAAAAATGTTAAAGATTTAACTCTTTAAAGACTGGGTCAGGACCCACGTACGTGGGTACGAGGGTACGTGGGTAGGAGGTTTTTTATACAAAGCCCACACTCGGTCCCGAGTTCGAATCCCGGCAGGACCTGCTTTTTTCTTTTGAGGGGGGGGGCATAGTGCTTCTTTTGCAGTATGGAATCGCACAGGCATTAACTTGTTTTGAGCCATAATTTATTTCGACAAAAATTGATTCAACTTCCATCAAAATTGTCCTACAAGCTTCAATGAAAAAACATTTTAAAGCTCTTTTCTTGTTCTATCTAATGGGTCGATATATACAGTTAGGGGAGGGGATGCTTTCGCCCCCGTCTCTCTCTACCCTTACTACGCTAGACTATATCCTATTTAGTCTGAATTATATTCAGACTATAAGGCACCTATGTTAAAGTTTGGTAATATGAAATATTTGTTTACATAGGAAGTGCTATTCAAAATGGCCGATTGGTAAAATTAATTTGCTCATTTGTTACTTCAACTAGCTTTATTTCCACTTGACAATATGCTGTGTTACTTTTTATTGCATTTAATTGTACCTTACTATTTAATTGAAATTTTGTAATGTTTATTTTATTGAAGAAATGGTTCCTCTAATTGATAATTTTGTGCAAAAAATTTCACTGCAATTTCCACAGGAAAGTAGTACATCATAACAGACTGACTTCTAGTCAGTCTGTTGGATACATACTACTTACTACGCCATGGCACGGGAGAAATATCTCATTTGGAATATATCACTGTTTACTTTGCGTTTGGTAGCTCTCTCATGCGAGATGGAATCGTGGCCATTAACTAAGGGAGCCAAATGCAACTTCCATCAAAAATTGTGCTATAAGGTATGAGTACCGTAATCCAACACCAAATTCGAAAATTCATAACAATACTTTGCACATATGACGTTCGTGACCAACTATGAAACGCTTACCCCCCATAGTGTTATATATCAAAATGCACCTGTCCATATAGGGGTTCGATTGATCTACATCAAATTATAGGGAGTCAGGTTACTTTTTGAGATATCAGCGTCCGTTTATTGTAACTCGCTTTTGCTACCACTTCCTCAATTCTGATATGACAGGCAAACGCGTAGTAAACATGCTCACGTTCGGAACTATTTTGACCTACATCGCTATTTTCGTAATTCAAATGAAAGTTGAACTCCTCTTTATTTTGATACCAAATAGTGGCATACTAGGTACCCTAGAAGCCAACTATTGGTTATTTAGAACGATACCACTGGTTTTTAAATGGACTATATAGGGATGGATATGGAACCTCATACCATAAGCTTCAAATAAAAAACATTCTAGCTATTTTCTTCTATCTAATGGGTAGCAAACGCCCGTTTCTACGCCTGATCGGCTCAGGAGTAATATCCTGTCTGTTTAGAATATGTATAGCCGTTTACTCTGCATTAATAGCTTTCTAACGTCTTACTTGTTCATGTTTTTTATATTGGGTTTTCAACGTTTACTACCATTCCCTGTTCCCGGGCTACCATTTTTTGACTGGGTTTGGTAATGCCCTCCCCGGGTTTTGCGCTTGTTCCCAAAATATCCGTATGATATCTGAAATATCCCCCCGCGCATTGCGCATGCGCCAGAAAATTCGAAAATCAATATTTGTCGGTCCTCTAGCGTGTAAACACAGCATATCTCCCGTACCGACAATTTATTTGTCGGTCCTCAAACGTGCCACCACCTCAGGGTCTAGAGTACCGACAATTGTCGGTACTCTAGCCTTTACGTTTTATAAAACCTAGTGCAGGCTCTCAAGAGACAATTTATGTATACAAGGACCAGGTATACAATTTATGTAATTGATGTACAGTATGAATATATTTTTCCATATGTTACTGCACAATAATCTTAAGATTTCTTATTTTTAGGTTCAACTGGTTGCTTTGTAGTCCAACAACATTAGACCTAGCCTGGGCCTCGTTTCTTATCTGACATGTCTTATGGCCCCGGCTAGGTCTAACCTCCATGATCATTTTGCCCTTGTTGCGCGTTCCGCAGGTTTCGACCAGCGGAACTAATTAACACTGAAAACATGGTAATATTACATAAAGAATGTGATTCAAGCATGCATACATACCTTATGAATACATACACACCATCCCGTATCCCCCTTAGACCCTATTGATGCATAATTACGAAAATATTGGAGACAGGTTTGGAATTTTACGAAATTCTCGGTCAGTTCCGGTAACATCGAAATTGCAAATCGTTTCAGGAATTGACCGTCATTGCGACACTGCATCAACGAACAGTAGGTTTGCAATTAATAACTAATTTGCGTGTATACAAGCGCTCCATAAATCAATCAAAGATACCTGTTATCCTCAAAATTGATCTTTATATCCCGAGTAATCGCGTGATAATTATCAATCTATTTGACAACAATTTCGTTTCAATAGTTTAAATTTTAACCCGGGACGAACAGACACAATGACGGACATGCGGAATGTCATTTTAGAGATTGGTAAGTTTAACCTCATTTTACTTGTATAAATGACCATTTAATACAATAATATTGTGTTGAATCGCTTGATGTTATGTGTTTTTATATTGTTGTTAATTAATAAGTAATTTCATGCGCGTTTAATTAATAACTGATAGTGAGAATTTGCAACAAATGAAAGCATACCACGGAAGTTAAACCCAATCACGGCAACAAGAACATTCAGATTAATAAATGAAAGCCGTGGTATTGGGTTTAACTTGTTGAACTAGTTGCTTTGAAGCATTGTAACAGCCTACTCGATGATAATACAGAGCTGTCAAGTGTCCCGCGAATGGCGGGATTATCCCGCGAATTTGATCAAAATTAGGCTAATTCGCGTGTCCCGCAATGTCCCACGAAGTCCCGCAAATGTGGCTTTGACCTCCGCGAATTTCCGAAATTGTTGCAATCCCCTATATTGTGATTATCTGATCTTTTATAAGAAGCTAAGTTTTTGCACTTTTGAGGAGTAAAGTTTACCTAATTTTAAGTACCTAGCATGCTGTTGTTTGGTATCAAAATAAAGGGGAAAGGTTCAACTTTCATTTTAATTACGAAAATAGGGATGTAGGTCACAAATAGTTCCAACGTTGGCCTTTTTACTACCCGTGTGGCCTTCATCTCAGAACTGAGCAAATATTAGCAAACGCGAGTTACAATAAATGGACGCTGATATCGGAAAGGGTTTGTAGAAAAACACGGGTACCGGGTAGTAAATCCTCCATGCTGGGTTCAAACTTGGTACCCGGTACCCGGTCAAAAAAAAACGGGAACCCAAACAACGAAAAATACTAATATATAACATAATAGATTATGAGAAAACGTGTAAGATTTGTTTTGAATTTACAAAAATGTATGTAACATCCTTCAAAATTGAGCTAGAAGTTTCAAATAAAAAGCATATTTTAAGGCTCTTTTCTTCCTCTATCGTCATGGCCATTGGTTATGGGGGGGGGGGGTGCGATCGCACCATCGCACCCTCTCCTGGCTACGCCTATGACATTGTAAGACATAACAATTTACAATTCAGTGGACATTTTGTCGAAAATTGGGATAACTTAAATTATGATTAATAATCAAAATCTTACACGTTGCATCCTTTAAATTAACACACGTCACCTCTCTGCTAAAGCAACGATAGCTATTTACAGGTTTAAATCATAATCAAAACAATTCATGTACCAACATACGAAGTATTGAAAATAGAGTAAGATTGATTTGTCTTGGTTTTCAAATCGTCTTACAATGTCATTGGCGTAGCCAGGAGGGGGTGCGATCGCACCCCCCCCCCCCCCTTCATTACCAATGGAAATATGACCATGATGATAGAGGAAGAAAAGAGCCTTAAAATGCTTTTTATTTGAAGCTTCTAGCTCAATTTTGAAGGAAGTAACATACATTTTTATAATTCAAAACAAATCTTACACGTTTTCTAATGATCTAATTATGTTGTATATTCGTATATTTCGTTTTTTGGGTACCCGTTTTTTTCGACCGGGTACCAAGTTTGAACCCAGCATGGAGGATTTACTACCCAGTACCCGGTTTTTTCTACAAACCCTTTCTAGAAAAGTAACCTCATTTCCTATAATTTGATGTAGATTAATCGAACCCCTATATCATGGGCTTTCAATTAAAAGCCCATGCCTACAGTATATGAATAGGTACATTTTAATATATAGCATTATGGGGGCAAGCGTTTCATAGTTGGTCACGACGCCAGAAGTGCAAAGTATTGTTCCGAATTTTTGAATTTCGTGTTGGATTACGGTACTCACACCTGAAGCATGGTTTTTGTTTTTGATAAATTACAATGAAGTATAATAATATTCCTATGCGTATTTTGTGAAATTGTGTTGACGTTTATTTAAGTTACAATGAAACGGTGCATTATATTTGATTAATCAGTATCTGAAAGTTTGATTTAAGTACTTTTACACGCTTTTACATTAGTCCCAATCACGCAAATCCCTTGAATGTCCCGGGACATCCTGCAAATTTAGGTGGATGTCCCGCGAAATCCCGCAAATTTAGGGCACTTTGTCTAAAAAATCTGTCCCTCTATGAAGTTTTTGGTGGTACCCCTGTTAACTGTCCCGCAATTAGGGTGTTTGTCCCTCGAATGGTCCCGCGAAATCCCGCGAATTTGATAAAAAAAATTGGCCTATTAGCACAATCACGCAAATCCCATAAATGTCCCGCGAAATCCCGCGAATTTAGTAGATGTCCCGCAAAATCCCGCAAATTTTGCGCACTTGGTCTAAAAAATCTGTCCCGCGAGAAAATCTTTAGGGGTTGACAGTACTGATAATACAACTGATGATTGTCAATCTGCCAAATTAAATAACAATCAAAATTTCAAAATCTGCCAAACCCGTCAAATTAAACAGGGCCAAATTAACAAATTAATTTACAGTTTATTCAAGTTTCTTTTATTCAGAGCCTAATCTGCTAATGTACATGTATAGTCAAGACAGAAATGTTTGTGAGTACTTTGAATTTAAAAAATAAGCAATCAGATGACCAAATTGAAACAGTTTATGTAAAAATAGAAACATTTATATTTATCCTAACTTTTGTATATTTTAGTTTGTTTTGTAATTTGGCTATCATATCCGTGTCCTCTTATATTTTGATACTTTTTACATAAACTGTTTCAATATGGTCATTTGATTGCTTATTTTTTAAATTCAAAGTACTCACAAACATTTCTGTTTTGACTGTACTGTACAAGGCCCTGTCACTCAGCATATACCCGCTGTAATCTGTTGCTTGTTGTTATAGTGAATAACTACATAAAGGGTGAGACAAAAGAGGTCATGCCAGAGTATGGATTGCAGATGGATCCAAGTGTTGTACACATGAGAGTCAACTCTGGTAGTAAGATCCGCAACCTCATGACATATGCCATAAAGAAAATCAAAGTAAGTACTGTCTTTACTAGACCTATACATGCATATTTCACCCAATAATTCTCTATGTAAAAAAGTATGATACTGTCAAAGTTTGATAGATTGATTCCAAAATGGATTTATTTTTGACTACAATATTGTTCTGTGCTTTGTTGTCCTTCGTCACTTTTATTACTTTTGAATAATTTTTAACTATCCCTCTTTGAATTCACCCCTCAATTTACATGTTTGCAGGAGCCAAATGTGACACAGTTAGTGTGGAATGGGTCAGGCCAGGCATTGACTAAGGTCATAGCATGTGCTGAGATCATGAAGAGAAAAGTCAAGGTAGGTAACCACCAACTGCTATCCTCGTATTAGCATATTATCCTTTGACTCACTACTTCTTAGAAACATTTTGCCAGGAATGATGCTTAATGTTGCTTGTTGATTGTTAGTGTTAATCAACTTTTAATTGTGGACAATAATTCCTGTGTATCCGAACATCTCTCTTGTTTGAACACCTCTCAAAGTGAACACTGGCATTTGCATATGGCAGATTGTACTGTATATATATGATTTTGATTCTGGATAAATGATAAATGCATAGTTTAAATGTATTTTATCTTGTTTCAGGGACTCCATCAAATAACAAAAACAGATTACAAAAGGTAGGGTACCATATAATTAAAGTATCATTTTTCAAATCAGTTACAGGACACATTATTAAAGTTTAAAATTAGAAATAGCTACTGATACTTGTCTTGCCTAAAGTAAAGACCCCCCCCCCCCCACTGAGAAACACAACATGATGTGTTGAAAAGGTGAAGTGCACAGGGGGAGTGCAGTCTTTAGAGAAGACATACAGATACAAACCAGTTTTAGTATGCACAGAAATTAGTAACACCCCCCTCCCCTTCCCCCAACTTGCAATACATACCCCCTCCCCCTCAATGGCCCGCCTCTTCTCCTTCAAACCCTAATTTTTAAAGTATGATTTCAGAATTGAGGAGTACTGGGAGCCAAAGATAGAAGGGTTAGAAAGGTATGCAGATATGAATGTTATTTTATGAGTTGGACTTAGTACTATTAGGCTAAAATTGAAAATAAATTTGCAAGTGTGGAAGAAAAACAGAAAACATAAAATGTCCACATTCATCTCGTATAAATGAGATGTTCAGTTTTAAAGTCACCACCAAAGGGGGTGATGTACATTATTGTTATAAATATTGTGTCCAATTTTTTTGTGGACGGTATTGGGCGATTGCTATTCAGCTGTTGGTGGGCAGTGTCTGTAACAAATAGCAGGTGGTGACATTTTGCATGTTAATGCCTTGGTTGTATTGCAGACAGCATGAAACGGGATGTGCAGACTGAATGAAACTTTAAATGAAAATCAGAGTCCATGAATCTCAGCTTTTTTGCTTAATATGAAACATAATTTGAAATGGTAGATTTAATTAAAGTTGTTCATTTTGTGTTTGTTAAGGTTAAAAGTAAACCGCGATGTCCCACACATGATGATCTTGCTATCCCAGAATCCTTTGGATACAGAGGAACCTGGGTGAGTACTCCAGAAAACTGTAAATATACTGATAATTACATTTATATGAAAATGATAAATGATACCAGTTACGAGATCTTTATATTTATTCCAAATAGAATGGACATTTTGAATGAAATGACAGGTTAAAATTGTCATTGATGTTTCAACAAGAGTTTCCTATAAATATGATTACTCAGATTTAGATGATGCCCCTCACATACACGCCCTCCCAGCCCAACTTCTTTGGAGTCTTTGCCATGTATTTCACTTCAGACATAAACATTTATATTCACATTGTGGCATTATAAATATTTTCTTTTTCTTAATTCCAGCTACCAAGCTCCAGATAAAGGGGATGCATTTTGGAAACGATCTGCCACTTCAAGCAGCAAACCTAAAGACTCAAAACTAAGACAAAAAAGGGATCAGAAATCGCAAAATGAATTCTCTGAGGCTGCTCAGTTTCAGAAAAAGAAAAAGAAACAAAAATTTGGCAAACAACAAGGGCAAGATGGAGTCCAGGAGTCTAATGGACAGAATACAAAGAAAGCATATGATAAAAAGAGGAATAAAAAAGTTAAAAAGACTGATAAAATGCCTTCTAAAACTGACACTGACAACTCCAAATCTTTAAAAGATTCAGATGTCAGTGTTGACTCTAAAGAACCAAAAGATCATGTGACACTCAATGAAAGTACAGTTTCCATGAAAACTGAATGATTTTCAAAATGTGTTCAAAATCAGACCTAAAATAAACTTCAAAATTGCTCAGAAACAGAATCTTGTGTGTCGATTTTATTCTTCTGCATTACCAAGAGAGAATATGTTAAGAATTTAAAGGGTGACGCATATCGTTTAGCAAATCGAACGCTCGTTTCTGGTGTTGCTCACCGTTTAGTATAAAAGGCCCGATCCCTGAATAATGCTCAAGGGTTCACAGGTTCGAGGTCGTTGTGTCAACACCTCTAACTGTTATATAGCATAAGTATATTATAGATCGTCACACATTTATAAAAGGGTGAATTTTATTTTGACAAATCAATTCCACATTTATGGGTGAAGTTTCAGGATCTTCTATTTGTGTACAATAAGGAAAAATTGGCATCTAAATTTCCCCATAACGTAATAGCACACAGCTTGGCATATGAAATATCCTACAAATGAAACAAAGCAAGACAAACCGGTTTCTAATACAAGGATTTATATTGGCTGTTGTACATGTATTCTTTGAACGCAATCACTCTTTGGATAACGTTTTCAAAATCATTATAAACGGATTACTTCATCTCAAAGACAATTTCAATAAACTGGATTTTACAGAACTCCCCTTATTTCTTAAAAATGGACTGATCCAGTTGATTCGCCTGGAGCCGCCATATTGTTTTTATACGGGATGCTAATCGGAACCCTTTAGTACAGGACACAGTATAAAACTAGAGGATTCAATGAACTGTTGGTTGATTTAATAAATGAGGTTATGTATGCAATGTGCAAGGCACAGTGTTAGGCTTACATACAAGAAAATTATGCATTAAATCACCTACAATGCATTAGTCCCGCGCTTGAATTCTTTCCAAAAATCGCAAATATTTTGAACAATTTTGTAAAAATTCTTTCAGAAGTTAAATCAAATATTATTCCGCTGATAGCAGGTTGTAACCTTTCTCATTCAAACACATTAAAATACAGTATATATTAATGATACTTCCAGGTTCAATGTACATGAACTACTATATTGTCATAATATTGCATCTAGTTAACTCCGATTTCCATTGTAACCCAGGGGATGCACGGCAGAACAGTGCAGTTTGTTTTTATGAATTTCAGTAATTATTGTAGCTTACATCATTTGTAGGATCAAATCGAACCCATGACACCTTACTGAGAAATCTTGCCCCAATCTGTCTTGATAGTTTCATAGATGCCACGTTCCCCTCCTCTATGAACCAAAATGGCGGATTACCAAGAGCCAAGTGTTTCCTCGCTAATGCTGCCAGTAAAACCTTTCCATAGCCCTTCCTTCTGTCTTCTCGTCGCACGTAAAGTCTTCCCAGACACATGTCCTGACCCGTGATCATGTGACCAATGACGTCACCAGAGAAATGGCGCAGACATATGCTCGGCAAAGAATTTATACTTTCCTCCATGAGTACATGTGTTTCTGCCGTTCCAAATTTCCAAGTGGTATTCACAAACTCAGCATCATCTGGAGAAAGTGATTCGAGTTTCAGACCTTCCAATTCATCAACTCTAAAAAACACAAAAACTCACATGAAAGACACAACTTAAACCTGCACATCGCTCCAAAACGCAATCTTGGGTTGTTTCGGGGGTGAACTTTATCATTTTGAGCTTAATGAAAGATTATAGAATGATGAACAAATGGGGCAAATCTTTTGTATAAATACTTACGATAAATGTGTCATTTCAAAGATTGTTCATTGAATTGCTTCGATTGGTGACGACGATATGATTTTGGAAAGGTTTCTAAATTAAGCATGTGACGTCTCTTCCGAATTATAGCATTCAACATAAGGAGCATTTAGTTACTCCAATCATTCATAATAACTCGTTGTCCCTGCCTGAGGCCCGGGTATACAGTCTTTAATAAAAAATCAGTCTTATTCTTATTCAATGTAAGTAATATTATACATGTATATACCACGCATTACCAACTCAGTACACTAGGGGGCTTTTTAAACATTTTTAACGTATTCCTGGGCCTCAGGTCCCTGCGGTAGAATGCTCGCTCAGCACGCAGGTGGCCCGGGTTCGAATCACGCAATAACTTTTTTATTTTTTTAACTGAATGATTGTTCTTTGATATTACGCAGAAAAAAACAATTTTTATTTGCATAAACTTTATATTAGAGCTTGAAATGTAAAAACAATATATGTCAACATATTGCGTTTAGGAGCGATGTGCAGGTTTAAGCATTTGATTTATTACTTGTATACATGTATACCAGCAGCAAATATAGCAAGATGAAAGCGCCAGTTGCATCTTTAACTATACTTTAAAGAATGAGGTCAATTCAACAAATCGCATTTGCAAATAGTTTTTATACTGGAATACTACTGTACTTCTGGAAGACATTTCTCCTCTTTTTGTCATAACCTTTAGGCCATTTTGACTCTTGTTGATTCTTACTGAGACCATCATAAAATGTTTTATGTTAGTCTCAGATCCTTACGTGGGTTCAGCTGGTAACGGAGATGGGTTGTTCTCATCAAATCCCATCATATCACAGTCAGCAATCATTTCGAATGTGCCGTGTTTGGTCAAATAAGCTTCTAGAAGGTCCCTGTGCTCACCGAATAAACCTTGAAGTATGCGAACATCAAGTTTAAGCTTCATGTCTTGATTTTGGACACTGCTCTTCATAAGATTGGCAATTAATCGAGTCTTCATTTGAAAACGTGTTCAAGCAATTAAGTTCGTGTTTGAATCTTTATTTTTAATGTGTATTACAATAGTTCGGAATTTTATGACGTTGATGCTTTTTATATCGCCAACATAGACAGAGCGGGAGTTTCAGTTGCCAAACTTGAAGAGGTGGTGTACAATGTACATCCCTCCCACATAGCAATCAGCATCAATTCATTCATTCTTGATTTATCAGTGAACTACGCCACGCGTGTACGCGTGTATTGAAAAGAGGACTATGTCGTAAGAACAAAGAACATTCTCACTCACAGACAACCGTATTTCGTGAAACATCAATCGTACTTCTGAAAAGTTCTTCGATGTTTTTGTCTTCGCATCGGGTAAAATAATAGTAGTGGCTGAAGAAATTAGCCAAGTAGGAATTCTGGAAATAAAATATAGTTATTTTCAGTATTCATATTCCACATTTTGCACTCTCATATAGGAGCTTGATGGAAGATTGATTAATAAAAAGCTTGGACATTTTAATTGTAATGTTTACATTAAAGAACTCGCCGTGACATGAGACGAAATGGGCCTAAACTTAAATTTTAGAAAATTGCACCCGATTACGGTACATTGTACTCTCCTATGTACTCAAATTTCAAACTTTTTTAATTACTGGGCTACTTCCCTATGTTCAGGAAGTATTGATTGCTTCCATAATTGATGACAAACGTTATGTAAAAGGATAAAATTCAGTGACCTACATTTTGCGTGTAATTTATTTTATACGTGCTCTACGACGCAAAAAGTAAGTAAATGTACCTTGTTCATTTACAGTTGAAGTATACTTTTCTGCAATGTATGAAACTTCAGTAACCCACTATATATTTAGAAGTACAAAATATGTAGGTCAATGAATTTTATCATTTTATTATCTTGATATGTATTAACGTTCACTCTTTGAGCAAATAGATTTATAACATGTGTGGAGTGAGTAACATGTATCTTAAAACAACATGGGACTTCAATGAGGAATGAAGCCATTAAAATTTCAAAATGTTTTTAGAGCATATAGTGCATTACTTCTATGACAACCCTCGTATTCCATACCTGATGAGGTTTCAGGGACATATCAACCGGGAATATATTCCATATCCGGGCAAATATTTTTCGTATGTCCCGCTCCAACGGAGCTCCGGGACATATAAATCGTATGTCCCGCTCAAAAAAAACATTTTGAAAAAAAACATTTTAGAAAAATGTTAAAAATAAATTCGGGAAAAGAATTTGAAAATAAAAATTTGAAAAAAATTGTGGAAAAAAAGTATGTAAAAAAATTTTGAAAAAAATGTTGAAAAACTGTTGAAAATAAATTCTGAAAAAAAAATTATGCAAAAAATGTGAAAAAAAATTTGAAAAAAAAAATTTTGAAAAAAAATTGAAAAGAAATTAGGGGATTTTTTTTTCATTTTTGAAAAAAATTGAAAACAAATTTGGAAAAAAATTGAATTTTTTTTAAAATGATTACATATTTTGCAAGTAAACACACCAGAGCATATGGGATACATGCTTGTTATTTCAAACCTCATCAGGTATGGAATACAACAGTTATGCACGGTCGGTTTGGATACAGGAAATATCCCTCGGGATATTCCCTGTATCCAAAACCTCCCAGTGCATAACCCCTATATATACGACTTAAAGTATAGTAGTACCTACTTCCTTGTGGAGAAAGTCGCTTGGCTTTGCAATTAGCACATTGTAATATGGCCAGCTATCAACCAAGAAGACGTACCAACCGCGGTTACACCGTAATTCCCCATTTATAACACCTTGTATCTGAAACAGTTAATTCAATTTAAGAGCAAGGTGCCCCGTGCGATTAAACACGATCTTATTTAAGATGAAGACCACGCATCGAAAACTTATCGATATGTATTCCTTGTCTCATTTTACAGATAATGTGCTCCCAATAACATAGTTTACATCTCATGTCACTGTTTAAAATATACCTACGATGAGCGAGGACGGGTCTCGTTTGTCTAAACTTTCTGCAACCGTTGTACATTCCTCTTGAGTGAGTTGCTTCATGCCTTCAAATTCACCATGTAGTATTTCAACACTTTCAGATCGGTGAACTTTTCTTCATAGCCTACAGTAGGGCTATACCAGACCCGATACAACAATCGAAGACCATAAAGTACTAGTATAGTAGATAATATATTCGTACACAAACTAGAATTCGTATACAATAGTATTTGTGTAATGTTAGAGTGAAGTAGTCAATCAGTTCTCATATAGACAGATATGTCTCTGATATAGATAAATACACTCCCCTCCATAAGTTTGGTAACCTTTGCTCCCCCATTGAACTACGTGTTAAAACCTCTTTACCTTTTACCTGCGATGGAAATACTTATACTATTGATGGAAACGTAATTCCAATACCTCCCAATTTTCTCAATTTTTTACTGAATTACAATTGGTCGAAAATTGATAATAAAGATGAATTTTTGAAAATCGACATTCCCATGTTAACCAATTGAAAATGATAGGTTGGCCGCAAGTCATATGACAGAAGATCCATCCATCCAAGTCCTTGCAAAAAATACAAGTTGGGAACGCAATTGAATTTGCTACCTTTATTTAACAAAATTGATCCGTTTCTTCAGGTTCAACAAAGTTATAGGTTTTTAAAGTCAACATTTTTTTTCAAAAAACCTTTCCATTGAAATAACACAAGAGGCGAAAAATGATTGTCAAAAATGACTTTGAAGCTCTGTAAATTTAGCATTCATCAAGTAAACTAAACAATTAGTCTACAAAAAAAGTTCGACAATTCAATTTTCTGTATAATTTTGTTTTGCTGAAACTATTACGAAACAGATATCCTGATTTCTGATTTGCCTAGAACTCACCATTTCCCATTGAATTACATGGTATTTGACGATTTTCACGCGGTACTAACTTCGACCGTTAATTTGAATTTTTGACTTACCAGATACTTGAAAATCAAGGATTGCGAGTCTCATACTGCACCGTTGTTCTTCAAACTTATACCATTAAAAGCAAAACAAAATTGCCTTTCTGTTGGTGCGTTACTTTATTGTAAAGAGTCCCTCGTTCTAGCAGCGTTTTGGTCCCCAGCTGTTAGAAGGCCTTCTTACAGCTGGGGACCAAAATACCGCTGGAAGTAGGGACTCTGTTTAAGAGAATAATGTACCATCAGAAAGGGATTTTTGTTATGCTTTGAATGGAACAAGTTTGAAGAGAAACGGTGCAGTATGAGACTCGTAATCCTTGATTTTCAAACATCCGGTAGGTCAAAAATTCAAATTAACGGTCGAAGTTAGGACCGCGTGTTAATTTGGCGGCCGGTTTAATTTGCCACCGTTTAAATTAATTCGCCTCCAAATTTCCCGTGATTTTAGTAGCATGTAAATTCACGGTGTTATAGCATGACGGTTACGTCAAGGCGATTTGCAAAATTTTGCGGTAACGATAACAAAAAATGGCGGATGGGAAAGACAGCATGTCCTGTTTCTCGCCTGTAGGCAAGATTCATAGATAAGATTTCCTTTTCAACTAGCTATAGTTCCATTCGGTGACGTATACATGGATGGTTATAAAGACTGGGTCAAATCTGCCAGGTGGTTTACTAGAAGCGGAATATAGGCTGTAAACTTACCGACTGAGATGTCCAAGTTCATATTTTTTAGTCCATTCTCGTGATTTCTCAGTATATGTGCCTCAGAGCCACTCAAACTATTAACAGTAAGTAAACTGTGTATAAACAAGCCATGAAATGACAAATCCAGAACAGGAACGTGGTCATATCGTAATTAATAAGGTTTTAAACGCAATGTCGTTAGACGACTACGTATGCATTCTATGGATGGTAACGTATTGTATTTGATGTACATTAGATATTTAGCGGACGGTTACGTGCATGCACATCTTTCAGGTTAAGGTTGGTAGTTCTGATAGCCTCTTTCCATGTAATTGTTATAATGAGTAAGAAATTGAATATTGAATTGCTTATATTTGTTTTCATGACTCGCAAGAGACGCTCTTGCGAGTCATCCCAAATTTAAATTCAAAAATGACCAGCTCCGCACCCTCCGCTCATTTGCTCCGCACCCAATATTTCCCACAGGCTCTGTCTGCATAGTGTGTTGCATGTCTTTGAAATTACAAGGGAGCAGGTTTTTAATACGATCTAAGAAACAATCTCTAATGTCTGTGTATGCATGGCAGGCCCGTAGCCAGGATTTGCCAAGGGGGGGGGTCAGTTTTCAAAAATTTCCAGGGGGGTTCACATTTGACAATATTGGCCCAAATATGGCTAAAATTACTTCAGAAGTGCTCAAAATGGTGAAAGTCTGCATGAGTTTGAAATAATTTTTGCCCAGGAGGGGGGGTTCGCCCGAACCCTGCGAACCCCGCCCCCCTGGCTACGGGCCTGCATGGCATTCTAAAAGGAAATGTTTTTCTGTTTCGATACTGAGTTGTAGAGATCCACATCTAAGTCTGGCTAGTAAAGAGCGATGAGGTCTTGTTATATGGTGTTTAACATAAGATTGGTCAACTGGTCTTGGGGACTCTGGAAAGTGTTCAACGAACAGAGGTGATCTACTTTCAAAAATCTTTAGGAAAGTGGACTCCGTTCGTTTTATTGCGACCAGACTCTCATCGTACTAGACTCGTAGTAATATTATTATAAAAGAATACATTATACAAAAGTATCTCCCTGTATCTTACTTATACATATATTTGGAACGTATCCTGTCTATCGGTATATTTTTTGACGTTTCACTTTACTCATTCATTGCATGTATAGACAGGTTCCAATTCAAATAATTCAAGTTTTTGAGGCATTTTTTAGAAAAAGCAACAGACCTATTTTTACTAGATCAATTTTTCATGCTGATAAAGATATTAAAAGATGACAGCTCAAGGGGTGGTCACGACACTAAATTTTGGCATTTTTACCCCCCTAGGAAAATATTCTAGGGGGTACTATGAAACTAGTTCATAACTCAAAGGATATATAAGCTATTGTTCTGAGTTGTACACCATACATTGCTAGTACAAATATGAATACTATCCTAAAGTTATGGGTTGATACCCTTATTGGTCTCAGAAAAATACAAAAAAACAGGAAAAAGATACGCAATTTTTGTCTTGCCAATTTTATATTTGTAGCTTCAAGCACAATATGACAGCTTTAACAGCTCATAGTAGTATTCTAAAAACATTTCTAAGCTATGTGTGGTATTGTAATACATCTATTTTAGTTATGAAGTACTATTTTGTAATTTTAATATGACTTTATAGTGCCCTACCCCTGGAAAGTTGAAAAAAGTGGATGTGGTGAATTTTATCATTTTGCAGCATTAAGTTAGAAACATGTATTGATAGACACCAAATCAATAAATTCATACCATCATCAAATGTTAGGTGGCATTCTAATTCATTTATTACTAGAATGTAGGACTTAAGATATTTTATATGTAAGTTTTCAATTAGTACATGTATCATAATGAAATCTAGTGTAATCACATACTAGAGAGGTTGGCATACAGTCTGGACATTGACATAAAGTCTAAACATTATAATCATCAATTGATCTCATTTGAGCAACTAGACTATGGTGGTCATCATGCACAAGTAATGTACAGTAGCACCTGCTAAGTGGAACACCTCCTAAGTGGAACACCTTTTCAAAGTCCCGTTTTAAAAATCCATTGACTTAATGTTAATTGAACCTCTGTAAGTGGAACACCTCGAAACTTGAACAGTGAACACCCCATATTGAATTAACCTGCTAAGTGGAACAGTCAATTTCCATAGATTTCAATATTGTGATATATGTAAACAGAATTAATCTCCTTCAATGATATTTGGGTATGAAAACAGGTAATACTGTGATAATTGGCAAATTAGGATTTTAATGGATTAACCTCCTGTAGAGGTCAACATGTGATGCAACCAATAATTAATTTGATAATCAGCAAATTAGGATTTCATAAGATTTTCATTCAGAAAATTGGATTAACCTCCTGTAGAAGTGGACACGTGATGATCTTGTATGTTCCCTGCGAACCCAAAACCTCCGTAAGTGGAACATCTTCTAAGTGGAACGCAGAATGGAGAGTGTTCCACTTACACAGGTTCTACTGTAATTACATAATAATGTTATAAAGGAGCATGTAGGTTATCGCAAACAACTTCAGACAATTCTAACTTCAATTATGAATATTTTCTGACCATGAACATGGGTATATCTTTTAGATCTATTCATTATCTTCAAGAAAAGTAAATATAATGATTAATCAGACCTAAGTGATATTAAAGGGAATGGCCCAATCAACATACTTTTTACTAAAAAAATGTTGACCTTATTTTTACCAAAGATGCAACCTTTAATTATATTGTTGAATGCATAATTAGAATATCCTTTGAGACATGTTCTATTTCCTAAGAGGAAAAGTGGATTGCTCCAGGGACTTTAAAGACACTGAATTTGGATGACCAAAATGAACTGAAACCAATGGATAGCATGAACTTTTTCAAAGGGGAAATAACATGGGGAACACTAATCTTAGGGGAATTCAGTTTTCTTTTCAAGAGCTATTTGATTCATTAAAATAAAGAATAGTAATGCATTAAACATTGTTAAAATGATTGCATTTTTGGTGAAAATGAGGTCAACAAATTTGAAAAAATATATTGATGGGTTGATTGCTAGTGAAATATCTCCGAGTCCGATTGACTTTATTATCCCTGTATACCTGTCTTCATTGTCAGAAAATAGTCATAATAATAATATAACTGTCTGAAATTGTTTGTGATAACTTACCTGAACCTTTCCAGGTCAAATCAGGAGTGACAAAATTATTTCAACCAAATTTTTGACATGTCTTCAACTTTAATGATGTTTGTTTAATTGTTGTTTACCACTTTTCGACAATTGTCAGGTTTTGGGGGAGGGGTACAATTAGGTAAAAAAAATTCACCTGATTCAGACTATCCTTAAATGAGCACTGATTCACCCGAGAGCATAACTTTTTCAAAACATGTAAGTGTTATTTTTGGACCACTCACATTAATGTTTCGTCTAATTTTCCCTTAGAGTTTCATCATCATTATCCAAATCTTTGTTGAGATATTTGAGATATATGAATGTTCATTATTAAAATCTTGCCTTCCTTTGCAGTTGGAAAAGATTCGGCATTAGGTGTTATAAGTCCCA